AACCGGTATATCTGACCACACTACCCGTTTTCAAGGTGTGTGTCAGATCGCATAAAAGAGTATCATACCCTATCACAAATTCTGTAAGCCTACCTGTCATCCGGGTATCGCGCCTCGTTTTCGTCAACAGACGACTCCCTCAATCAGGGGGTGGAAACGCACGACTTAGCCTATATGATTAAGACAAGCCTAGCCGTCAGTACCGGTTATTGTTTTGTGACCTTGAGGAGCAATTAGGTTTGGTCGTTGTGGCACACATGAACAGTAGTTGAACTACCACACCTGGGTCTTTTGTTTTTGACAACTGTTCACTCGTCATCGAGGCACTTGTTCAAGACTACAGGCTGATATCTACTAGTACTACCACAATACTTAAGTTTTCTGTCCGTGCGNTTAATAACTTATCTTAAGATAAAATTAGATTAACAGCACGGTGTTAAACTATTTACAGTGCCCTGGGATGTGATTCTGTGATCGTGACCAGCACCATGCACTTGTTCACCATTCTAGACAAGTGAGGTAAAAGGACACTTTTCAATGAGCTATTTTTGGAAAAGATCCAAGTTGGATACAGTCATGGTGTAATAATTATCTAGATAGATAGACAAGGTGAAGTCATCACCTTCCTTGGGACTTGACTAAGCACACTTCTTTTTATAGACAGAAAGTTTTCATTTATGATAGATCGAGATATATGATTTACCTGTTGACTGTTTCGTCTGTTCACTCTGGCAGACTTGGTCACAGGTGAATTACCTGTTCAGGTGAAGGTATCTGGATCTATCATAAATGAAAAATTTCTGTCTACCAAAACTGAGATCCAAAGAAACTATTTTAACACATCTTTTTTTTTTACTTAATCTAAATGATCATTACCACTATATTTTGTGGTAAAACTATTTTGTGGCAAGTACATTGGTCTTTGCAGTCCAACATACACTTGGGCAATAATCCTCAGTTTTTTTGGTATAAACTGAAAATTACCCCACCTCTAGTCCTAAATATCTTGTGCATTGAAAAGACAGAGAATAATAAAGACTTAAGTTTCATGTGTAGAGAGCACTTGACAGTCAGTCTGATTAATTAACATATGCTGCCATATAAAACATATGCCAGGAATCTTCAAATCATTCATGTAAGACATGGACATGTTCTCTTTCCTACTCAGGCCTACCCAACTACCAGACTCGACACATAAATATCCTGAATTAACCTGTATGTCGGACCACACTACCCATTTTCAAGGTGTGTGTCAGATCGCATTTCGGAGTATCAGTCAGAACACCGACAGGATGAGCCCTTGGTCGTCCTACAAAATTTGTTCTGGGGTATGATACTCCGAAATGCGATCTGACACACACCTTGAAAACGGGTAGTGTGGTCCGATATACCGGTTAATTCAGAATCCTTATGTGCCGAGTCTGGTAGTTTGGTAGGCCTGATACTGTGCTTGTGAGTTAAAATGGGCACATCTCTTAAATTCATCATATTTATGTGACAGAAGGAAAAAAATAATTGCCTGCAGAATTTTCACTGTCATATAATTTTTCATATTAGTCAACATGGATCAGTTGAACGCTATATGGCTCTTCATACTTCAAGTAATATAACACCATTTGTACTTAAAGGGATAATAACTCTTCATATGAGATCTATATTTCACAATAAAAACAATGTGAATAACTCATAGAAATATAATATATTCCATTTTACCACAAAAACGGCAGTTATAGCTAATATTCTGATATCTGAGCTTGTCTTTAGACCATGTGACCTCCATTGATGGATATACTTCAGAAAAAAACCAGGGACTAACTTTGAATGTAAAAATGGATTCATTTACCATTGGTAAGTATGAGAAAATTGTTGTTTACTCCAGGAAAATTCATTTTTTGGCCGAAACGAAGAGTTATTATCACTTTAAGATGCCATCACATTATTGGCTTGCTTACAAATCACATCAATGGGCAACACAAAAGGCTATTGAATTTCCATACAATATCTTTTGGGATTTTCTACTACCGTACATCAGAATACACATAATGAAAGTGGAAGTTGCTGCTTTGCTCAAGCACTTCAGATAAATTAGCCATCCCATCGAATTCAACAATTTCTTTTTATACATATTATCATGATACAAATTTGCAATTAGATAAATGCTTATAAAAATGCACCTTACTTTCAACACTTATCAGATGCTTCAACACAAGTTTATATCATCCCTGGCACAGTTTCAATGCACTGGTTTAATGATTTTTCAATAATTTGACATCTTTCCAAAACAAAACAAGAGTTATCTCAATTATAATGAAGGCTTTATCAAAAGATAAGTTAAACATGAAAATGGTCCTGTGTTTATTATAGGGCATTATTTGATAAAAATTATATATCCATGTTGAAAACCATTAAACATGCACTCCAAGTCTTGTCAAAATATAAGCCATCCCATTCAGAAGCATAAAAGTGTTACATGAAGTAAAAACAAGTTTCTTATCAGCAGCTCGAGTACTTTTGTTTGACACCCCTAGTGCAAATAATAAAATGTACTAGACTTAGGGTCATCACTTACAGACCTATACTGTTTTCAAGTGCAAATCGTAAATTGTGGCATTTACCAACATAGTAGGTGCAGGTAAATGGTTGCCCTGCAGATCCCCCTTCAACCAACAACTCTGACCTGGCCTAAAAACCAACTGAAGTCTTGCTAATTGATTTATGAACAGGTTCTCTCGTTTCCAATATTAACTGTATCAAACAATTTAGTGTAATGACATCTGAAGTTACAAATTTAGGTTTTTGATCAACCTAAAAGACACAACCACATCTGTATAAGAATATCACCACGTAGAGAACCATTGTCACATCTGTTGACCCTTAAATGATTGAAAAGTACACCAGTTTAGAAGAAAATGTCTCCGCGTCAGTTACCAATGCACAGGTATTTGATACATTTAAGCTGTGGCATGTGGGTACTGGACATGAAAAGGATCAAGCTATACACATTTTCAATGCAACTGTGACCAAGTATCTTAGAAGTTTGTGCATTATGACCATTGCCCCAGTGCATTTTGTTGCAAAAAGTACCTTTCTTTATTATCATTAATATATTAATGACAAATGAGCAAGTGTGAACAATTTAGTCTGCCACTTTCATATGGATTTTATCTCTCTGCCTGATCTACAACAAATTGGGAAAGGAGCTTTTCTTAATATTGTTCCATTACTATGGCAAACTACAAACTGGGCAAACAGACCAATATTCATCTCAGTATTAGTGCTATTTTTAGTTTAACTTCTGCTTTACTGCTTTGGCCAAATTTCTTTTTACTCACTGGACACAAAACAATTTAAAGCCAGATCAATGAGATTTGTTTTGAAAGATACCACATGTAAAAGTATGTGTGCCACAGAAAAAAATTCATTCCCAATTTCATGCATGAGAATCATTGAGACAATATGTGAGTTGTAGAGTATTAATACAGACACTGTGACTATACTTAAAAAGAAATGTTAAATGGAGCATATAATTTGTTTCTGTAAATATGCAACTGTGACTATTAACCAAAAGAACTAGAGCACACATTAATACTGTGACCTGAAACCAAACACGATTTCTTGGAAACCACTATGTTTAATTATTTTAAACAATGATAGAAAAAATTCTGGAGTAATAATGACAATGGTTTCTGCACATGTGTGATGTTATCCAAAAAAGTACAATTTTTCATTTATTTTAGGCAAGGTATTAACTGCTTGTCTGGGACAGAGAAAATTGAATAGCCTACCATTAACCAGACACACAAATATACTGAGTAAATATCAAAGATTTCTGTTGTCTTAAATGTTCCCATTTTCTTTTGAGATGGCCTGTGCGTATCTCCAAGACAATCTAAATCTTTTAAAATATTTAAATAAATGTATCTGCCAAAAGTTTTAGGAGAGATGAAAATGTAAAATTTGTATCAATCTGCTTGTAGTCTGATAAATCCAACTGGAGAAAGTGGTCTTTTAAAGAGTATATTCACACAGTGCCTTTGACTGAAGCTATATTATTAATATCAATATATGTTGGACAGTGTCTCTTATCTGTGATAAGACTATTCATACAGGTGACCCAAACACAAAAAAGCTATTTTTAACCTGAAGGACTAATGACCGGTCACTAGGTCACAAATATATATGTATATTTCCCTGTGTGATAGTCCAGCATGAGGTGCAGTTTAGTTTACCAAAACTTGTCCTTAGACTCAGTTCATTGTAAATAACATTGAATGATCATAAAAATTTTAAGATCTTACATAAAATTAGAGAAATTTCATTTCAAATTTCAAATTATACATAACTAAAGATAGAATATGTTACTGTATACACTGGAGGCAGGTGACATTTGTAGGTGACTCTAATGAGATGCTGGAAATTTAGATGCTGGAAATTTTGAGGAAAACAAACAAACAAACAAACAAACAAACAAACATAAAAAAGTAATATTGATTGTTTTGGCAAATCATTTATCAAACTATTTGTCCTGAAGGAATGTTTCATGGATCTTTGGCCCAAAGCTATCACATTTGTACAAGGAAACAGCACGGCATGCCAGGAAAATTTATTCAGTATTTTTTCATGCCAAAATCCTGTTCCATGCCCTAATGATAACCACATATGATACAAGGCCTCAAAACCTATTGGCATGGGCAGTCAGAAAATCCATCAGGAGGATGACCTGAGCTATATCTTTAATGCACCTCCCTGCTACAAAACCTTGTTTATTCTTGCAATAACTGGACATGTTACCAAGTACTAAGGAATGATTTCAAACATCATTCAAAGATTATCATTAAGGAAGTAACAGAACATACACGGGCAACTTCACAATATTCCTCCCTTTATATTCCTCATGAACAAGCAAGAAAATATGGTTTGGAACAGAGAATCAACAATAGACCTTTGAAAGAGTCCACGCATTTTTTCCTAATAGTGACGACCAAATTTGGAATATTTACCTTGTCAGTTATGGTGGCAATGTATCGCATGCACTCCTGGTCGGAGGGGAACTGGTTGACGTGGCGCACCAACCACTTGACCACCTTCACATGGCCCTTCCTGAAGGCAGCCATCAGACAGGATACTTTCCTGTTGTCCTGACTGTCAACATCTGCTCTAGCATTGACCAGTAGCTGGACTACATCTAGGTGTCCACCTACAAACAGAAACTACAAATCTGAGACAAAGGCACTGCTTCAGAAGTGGCCAAAAGCCAAACAAAATCAATACAAGTAACTAGTAAAGAATGAAGGCACTTTCTCAAAGGATCACTCTCTGGAGAGACAAAGATTTGGACATATTTTTCATTACATACTAAGGCTTCTAAAAGTACTCTCTACATTTTGACAAAACATAAATGATCTCCCAAAGAAGATTATGCTGAAGGTTCTATATAGACCTGTTTAGGTCTGTTGAATATTAATTTTAAATAAGTCAAGAAAAACACAGAAAAATCTACAGTAATTTTCACTTGAAAAAAGTTAGCGGAGAAAAATGTTTATAAACTGTGCTCTAAATGTTACTAGGATAAGACATATGCAGCAACCAAAACTGTGTTGACTAAATCTCATTCTGACAACAAAAAATATTTTCACAGCCAAGCAACTCACTTGAACACCGAACCATCTAACCCAAGCCCTTAGGCATTCAAACTGTGAAATGCAAATTATTATGCACCCCATTTATCATGCAGATATCATAGGATAGGCTTATAACATTACATGAAAATTCAACTCAGGAACCGAATAGCCCCATATTCTTGCTTTTAATAATTAATGCAGAACAGTCACAACTGAGATAAGTCAGCTTTCAAAAAGCAATCACGTAATCTTCCTTACCATTACAAGACAACCACAAAGGTGAGTTCCCTTTCTTGTTCTTTACATCCACTGCTGCACCTCTGTTCAGGAGGAGCTCCACAAATCTATAGTGTCCTTTGTCTGCTGCTATGGTCAGTGCAGTATCCCTGGAGGAGGGCACAGGGGGGGCATTGACATCTGCTCCCTTGTCTAACAGGACACGCCCCACCTCCACATACCCCCCAGAGGCAGCCTCCATCAGTGGGGTTAAGCCAGTCTGAAGATGCAGGATCAGTGATGTTAATACCATGCCAATGTAATTATAGGCATTAAAGACTGGGTACCATGTAGCTTCTAAAAATTTGAATAACTAGCCTAGGCTCACATGTAAAATGTTCTTCTAATGAGTCCATAAATTATTTAAGTTTTCCTTAATATTACAAAAAGTTGACTTAACTAAAACTGTATTTAGCATAGTATATAAGATAAAATTACAATGGAAAGAGATCTCTGAGAAAGCCAACAATATTGATGGGATGACATGTTTAAGATAATGGGACGTATGGCTTCACTAAGGACCAGTCTACAAAGAAAGTGACCACTGAAATTTTTTCTATGGCCTCAACCTCCCGACTCTCACCAATAATGAAAAGATTGTGAATAGACCGTAGATAATTAACATCCTGTGCAATTCTAACTTATCTAAGAAAACAGGATATCTCATATTAACACTATTACACTGGAGAAGAAAAACAAGTAACTAACGTCAGCAAAACCAATGCTTTACGTCATGTTTTTTAATTTGCTGAACAGATTACCATAATCTTTTCAGTTTCCAACATTGCAGCATAACAACATGTTTACATTTAAGCAATAATGTGAATTTTCGGAACTAAAGATATGAATAAAATATT